AGCACTGGAAAGAAGCATAATTAAGAAAAACCAACAAAAGAAAAAAAATATATATTTCCCCTCTCCCTAACACAGAATTAGTTTGCAGAAACAAATTTGCTGGAAAAAGTCACATCAAGATTAACTCCTCAGCAATGTAGCATAGAGGACTTCTGTTTTGTGGCTAGATTTATTTCTAAATTGTGTTGCAGAAAACAGAGATGAAAAGCAGTAGTGGTATCAATTAGTTGTATCATCTTTGGAAGGTGAGAAAACGCTTGACATTCATGAGCCTTTGTAACTAATTTTTCAGCTTTAAATCACACTTTTCTTTCTGGCTTAGATAGTTTCCAAAGCTTTGTGTTTCAGAATTTTTAAAATATTTATATTCTAAATGTTTGCATGCACCATCCTGCATGTCAATGAATTTAGAGAGAATGTCTGGTCTCAGAACAGCTGTTAGTGTGACTATGACTCCTACAGAGGATCTTATTAAAAAGAATAAATTTATGGAAATTTATTTAAGAGTTGCTGCTGTGGCCTCCCCTTAACAGTTGAAGCTTAACGAATGAAGGCTGCTGAGGAGGTTATAGTGAGCTACTTGGATGACAGATACATTCAGACAAGCTAGAGACCTTTGATGGACAGCTCTGGGAAAAGCAATCACTTCCACTCAGTTTGATGCATTATATATCCTCTGCCTGTTGCTCTGCAGAAGGACAGCAGAAAAGGAAGGAAGCAACAGTGAAATGTGCACTATTGGTAAGGCAATGTGTAAAGAAATTGACAGAATATTCATGGATAACAAAGACCTGAGTTACCCAAGAAAAACTAAGGAAGAGAAGTTTGCAGCAGGAAATTAGTTATATACAGTCTCAATCAAGGGTGGATAGAGAGTAGATGAAGTGTTTTGGACTGGAGTTCTCAGTAGCCTTTGCTAGCATAGCCGGTAGTCAGGAATTATGGGAACTGGAGTCCCAAACAGTTCTTCCCACCAATGATTGAAATCACACATGAAATTTCACCCTGTCTCTGTAAATAGTCTGCAAATATTTGTCATTGGATTGTCCACACTCTACTTTTTATATAGAACACTGAACATGGCTAACCAAAACAGAAGCCAACAACTATTCAGCATAAGAACACACACACAAGCAATAACACATTTTAACCTTTCATCTGTTCATCTGGACTTTCAAGCCATCACCCAGAGCCCTCCTCCAGGTGGTCTTACCAAATGAATCAAGACAGGGGTCTTTTCAGTGGTGGCACCCTATAGCTGTCTTGTCCTCCCAGGGCAAATTTGCTTCAGTAAAGAGCTTTTCCCCAGTGGTTTTAAGAGTTGCAATTGTGCTTTAAGAAGACAGCATTCTTTTGTTTTCTGGTCACTCATATGGTATTATTAGCTGCTGGTTTTACATCTTGAAAATCAGTGATGAAGATGATAAAGATCTGAGCCTTTCATTGTACAGTATTCATATTATCTGGAGCTGCAAAGAGAATAAAGATCGTATTAGAGGCAAACAGCATTCAGGGCTGAGATTGTTGGCCAGCCACTGGTGTCAGCTCCTGAACGGCTGTTTTCATTTCAGAGGTAGCTGGTATAAACCTGCCTCTTAAAAAAAGTTAGCTTGGCCTGAAGAGTCTTCAGTGAAGATCATCTTCATGTTATCGGTAGTTACTGATAATTTACCTCCTGTATATCCTCTTGTTGCCTGTTTCCATCTCTGAGGTGCTGCTGGGGAGTTGGATTTGATGACTGATAGGTCTCTCCCCTCTCTTTTTACAGAGCACTGTATTATGTAGTGCTATTTAAATATAAAAATAAAAGAAAAATATAATAGGAAGAAGTCATTAAGAAAGCCTCATCCATGACACAGAGTATAATGTATTCTTTAATCTTTCAGATTAAAGAATATTCATGTAACAGAAATGCCACACAAATGACTTTTAAGTAAACTTGGAGTGGAAACTGAGATTCAACAGCTTAGATTTGTTTCCTACTTCCCTAATTGAAGTAAGGACTTGCACCAAGGAAACTTTGCTTTTATGATTGTATTATTACCCTTTATTATTCTTCAGTCTCAACTCATGTACACAGGGCTCACATGATCAGCATTGCTGATTTATCAGGAAAAAAAATCAAACTAGTGGCATTCTCATTTGGACATAAGAAAAAAAGCTCTCCTCTTTCTCCTGATCCTGAAGGATAGAGATCCAAGGGTTGGACCCTTATAAATTTTAAACAGAAGTTTCCAAGAGCTGCAGATGGAGATGGTATTTATAGCAATCTGTGACAGATTGTTGCTGATGATCATACAGGTAAAAGGTAAAATCAATAGAAGAAACAGTGCAGGAAGAATAATCAATTATTGGTCTGGATACAGTACAATATCATTGTTTAGAGTTGTTACATGCATGGTCAGAATGGCATCCAGCCTCTAATAGGAAAGGGATGAGAAGACCACTGTCTCTTCAATTGGACGTGTTGGAGTAAGATGTTCCTTGTTTAAAAATTGAATTTCCCTTTATCCTCTTTCAGTCTGCATTTGGTTAGGCAGAAGGGGATGGGTGATTCAGAAATCATTTACAGTGGTGCCTCGCTTAACGAGCGCACTGTTTAACGACGAATCCGCATATCGATGCGTTTTTTTTATCGCTAATGTGATCGCATTGCGGTGTTTAGATAGGCCAGAAATCGAATTGTGATGATCAGTAAGCGTTTCGCTTACCGATCCTCGCATTACAATGTTCTAAAAACAGCTGATCGGCGATTCCAAAATGGCCGCTGGAAGAATAAAATGGCCGCCCACTCCGTTTTCGCACCCTGCCCTCACTTACCGAGGCGGTGAAAATGGTGGCCAGATGGGGAATCTTCGCTTACCGGTGAGTTTTCGCCCCATGCGTTCCTATGGGGTTTTCAGTTCCGTTTAGTGATGTTTCCGGATAGCGACGTTAATCCTGGAACGGATTAACGTGGCTATGCAGGGTACCACTAGGGAATGGAAAGGAAAAGGAGGTTACTTACCTGTAACCATGGTTCTTCAAGTGGTCATTCTGTGAATTCACACAAACGGGTTAATCCGGCGCCTGCGTCGGAGTCCTCGGAATATTCTCGAGGAATAGTGGAGTATTGGATGGTAGAGCTCTTCGTGGTACATGGCGGGTCCTACATACAACTAAACTACATCAGGGCCTGAAGACAGAATTCTACTCACACTGAAGCAAAACTGCTCCCTTTCAGTCAAGCTTTAGGGATATCAAGAACTGCCAGAAAAAGCAAGTAGGGGTTAGATTAAATCAGAAGGTAGGTAGGTAGGTAGGTAGGTAGGTAGGTAGGTAGGTAGGTAGGTAGGTAGGTAGGTAGGTAGATGATAGATGATAGATAGATAGACAGATAGATAGATAGAAAGATAGATAGATAGATAGATAGATAGATAGATAGATAGATAGATAGATAGATAGATAGATAGATAGAAGGCCAAACCTGAGATGGATTTATTCCATAAAGGAAGCCAAAGTGTAAGTCTGTAAAACCTGAGCATGACTGCTCATGAAACTTTTAGAAGTTAGCCCTTCATAGGATCATAATAAATTGGATGCAGTTTTATTGCACATAACAAAAATAAATTCAAAATGCTTGAGCGCATGGCAAGAGCTATTAAAGCCATTAACCATTTGCAACATTAAATCTTGTGATTATTACAAAACGAAGCCTAGGTATCAATGGATCCGGTGGCAGATGAATACCTAAGATTGCTTAGTCTTGATTATAATTCCGCTCCCCCCCCCAAAAAAAAACTGTTAGACATGACAAACGTTGAGTCTTCAAATATTGACTGGAGCCTGCCGTTCTCACAATTTCTTCTCATGGCTATGCTGATTAGCAATCCAACACAATCCGAGGAGTCAGACATTGTGTCCATCCAATTCTAAAGTGAAGGCTAAGTATCAGTAGCAGGTTTCTCTGTAGCTACTCTCCCTTTGCTACAATTCCAGACCTGCATATTTGGCATTAAGGGCCCAGTGCCTGGATATTGATGCCTTTCACCTCTCACCTTAAATCAGAGTGATGCAGCACACAGTGCATCAATCCTTTGCCTCAATCTGCACATTGACAATGTCATGACAAAGACACTGGGTAGTTCTTCTGCAGATGAAGAGAGTGGGAGGCACCTATATTCCAAAATGATTTGCATCACAGAATGACTTAAGCCATTTGAAAGGAAGATATAATTTTTTGATTAAAAAAAGTTACCCAAAGCAAAATGTGAAGCAATCTTTGTAAGCTACACAGAGAGCTTGAAAGAATTAGCAAACAAAAACGCTGCTACAACAGGTTTGTTTTTTCCTCTCTACTCCTGTAGACCAAATTATATGTTCTTTTTCTTAGAAGAAAATAAATATTCAGACAAAAAGCCCCTATGGTAGACCTTTGGTCTAGATGGGTGAGGTAGAAGTCTAATAAAATAAAATAAAAAGATATATATTTTCTTTCTCAACCATAATTTAATAATACCTGTTTGATAGCAAAGATAAAGTAATATGAACTAAAGGTTGTTTTGTTTTGTTTTTTGGTCATTGTCACAATTCAAATAAACTTCTTTGTGACAGGTAGACTTCAGATGAAAATAGCTTTAATTTTACTCAAAGCAAGAGCAAAATTTAAAAAACAGCTTGTGCCATTGTAAGCGAGGACAGTTCATTCCTTGTGAATATTAAAATATTCTATTGAAACAAGAGGGGGGGAATCCCATAGTTTTCTTCATTAACAATGTCACAGGATGTTTAATTGCCTTCTCTAACTGAACAGCCATCCGGCTATGCTGAAATACAGCTCTTAGCTGGCTGAGGACTTCTAGGTATTGTAGTCCAACATATCTGGAGGGCAGCAAGCTGGGAAAACCTCTTTTGAAACACTGGTTAGACAAAGCTTCATGGAAAACTAACGTCAGGGGGATAAGGGGAAAGTAATTCTTGTTGGCTTGCTTTACATGAAGAAGGCACAACGTGAACAGTGGTAAAGTCAGTAAAGAAAAATTTTACTGAAATAATTCAATAACACAGATACTGGATTCTGTTTTAAGTGTAAAGCTAATGTCATACACAAGAAAGTTGAACAGACCCTTTCCCCAAGACTAATATGAATATACAATAAATATGGAGTTGTACATATTCTGTACACACAAACTTTGCCCACAGCCATAAAAATTTACATTTAACAGTGCAACATATAATTTAATCATTTATTTCATTCGACATAGGTTTTTAAATGTTATTTTACTTACGAAACACAAATAACTACTTGGTTTTAATATACATATAATATATAATTTTGACAATCTGTACAGTTTTCTAAACATAAAACTGAAAAAAAGAGAAAGATTGAAAGAAAAAGGCACAATTGTCTATACAACATGTACAAAAAATGGCCGGAGCTGACATGAAACAACAATTATTGGTCAAGAGTTCATGATTGCACAAAGATTAGTAATGAATTGGTGTCAGAAAACAAATGTGCTTTAAGTAAAAGAGAGGTTTGAAAAGAAACCTGGCTAAGTGTTACTTAAAAGAACACACACACACACACACACACACATAAAAAAAACCCACCCACACGCACAACCCCAACGTAAAACCGTAAACTCTAGGTTGCTATTACGAGCCTATCCTCATCATCACTGCTGCCATCACTGAACTCCACAGTATTCTGCCTCTCAGGCAACGCTTTTCGCCTGTGTACCTGTCTATCAAGAGAAACAGTGTGATCTCGGGGGGAACCGGATGAAATGTCAGAATTCATCTTCATGGGAGGCTCTGATGCAGAAGCCTGTTTGACCTGAACAGAACTGATATTGCACTTTGGTTTCGTACGACTCTCCGAGCCAGACTTTTCAGTGTCCAGTTTAGCCGGGCTCTCGTGCCGCTGGTACCCACTTGAAGGAGCTGGCTGTTGTGACCGGTTTTCAAGGCTAGGCTGCTGCTCGGCAGAGGCCACCTGAGGAGATGGAGTACTGGTGATCTGAGCAAGATCATCATTGGCGAGACTCCCAGAACCTTGATGATTTGGGCGAGTTTCACAGGCCTTGTTCTTGGAAGCTGGTGTTTCTGGAATGCCCGGTCCATCTGTAGTTACAGGACTGACTGAAGGGATTAATGTTGGCAGTGCTATGTTCAGTATCTGCAAACTTGGAATGTGTGCCTGTGGGCTTGGGTTGCTCGGAGGGGAAGGGTTAGCAGTCAACACTTGTAGCCCTACAGCATTTAGGGTTAAGCCAGAAGGATGTATTTGTGGAGCAATGTTGGTGTTGGCCAGGCCCAAGAGGTTCATGGTATCCACGCTCAAGGAGGGTAGAGGCTGCAGGGTGGAGGCATTCAGGCTCTGGATGTTGGGCACATTGATCTGGCCTATTGGAATACAAGGGACAACTTTGTTCATGTCAGCAACACCGAGACCATTTGCAGTGCCAGAGACGGCACAGGCTGCGTCACCGAGAGTGCTTGTAGTTCTGTGGATCACACTAACAGCAGGAATAGTGAGTTGCACCGGCCCAGCCTGAATAGGTAGAAATGTGGAGTATGTGGCCAAGCCAGCAGGTACCACATGGATCCCCCCCACTGGAATCATCCCATGATAAGGGGTCCTGGTTTGTTGCTGTGAGTGCAAAGGAAGGTGGCTAAACAGGTGCGTCTGGGGAGATGCCAGTTTCAAGGCCGACTGCTCCTCATGCTTCTGCTCTTGGATCTCTGAGAAAACTGAGGCTATGGAAGGAGCAACTGTTGTTGTGGTCTGTGTACTCTGGTCCACAGGTGGAGAGGGAAGTCGCGTTGAAGTTGTGCTCTAGGAAAAAGACAATACAAAAAAAAAAAAGGTGGTCAATCCAAGTTGTGTTTCTTAAAGTGTGAAAGCAACTTATCAAATCAAGGTAAGCTGGAGAATAAATAGAATAACAGAATAAAGAGAATTCTAGAATTTGCTAGACTAACACTTTCCTCTCAAGCCTATGTGCTGATTTTTTTTTATTTCCAGAATTCAATTATCTTAATTTCATTGTTTTCTCTACTCTGGAACATTTTGAAGCATGCCATCCCTCTATCAGGCTAAACTGCTTCTTGTCATGGATTCGTCCTTCCTTCTTCTTACTTCAAATTCTACTGAAGAAGCCAAAATCATCCTCTCAGTTTCCACATCTATTAGACACGAGTCAAGAATCTGTTCTCAAAAGAGTGTTGTTAAACTCCAGATTCATGTAGATTATGTAGATAGATAGTGTTTAAAAGCATGGCACAGTTTTACACTCTCAGGATGTATTTTCCATTGCCAGCAGTGGCAAATGATCTGTCAGACCCCTTTCCTTCTATTGCTGACTATGCTGAAGCCCTCCTGATAATAATGAGGCAACCTATCCACACTACGTTTTTTGGGATTGAGGAGGTGTGCACACGTGTATACATAAAACTAAGGACGCAACATGAGTTGGAATAACTTCCAGGATCACTGAGGTATGTATGCATGTGCGTACATGTGAGGAAATGCATACACAAACTTACCGGTATCAGTGTACTGAAAAGTAAATCCTATTCATGTCAATGTACTGATGACCCACAGCTAACAAAATGAAGAAATCTAATCTGGTCTAGGTTCATTTTTAAGTACTGTACAGTGGTGCCCCGCTAGATGACGACCTCGCAAAACGATGAATCCGCATGATGATGATTCACAAAACAGTGTTTCCAATGGGCGATTTTCGCTGGACAATGTTTGGGTCTGTGTCTTGCAAACCGTTTCTCACAAGATGATGATTTTGGCACTGACCGGTGCTTCACAGGACAGCCATTTTACCAGCTGATTGGCGCTTCGCAAAATGGCTTCCCTATGGGCGATCTTCACAAAACGACGATGATTATTCCCCACTGGAATGCATTAAACGGGTTTCAATGCATTCCAATGTAGAAACGGTTTTGGCAAGACAATATTTTCACAAGACAGCGATTTCTATGGAACAGATTATCATCGTCATGCGGGACACCACTGTATTTCCGTGTGCAACCCCTCTTCGAGTCCTGCATGCTTCACTAAAATCTTTTCAGGTCAGTGTGCTTAAGAACCACAGCCAAGGACATCTAAGCATCATTATGCCAAGAATATATTAAAAGTTGGTGTTCTTACAATGAATTTTGAAGGCGGAAAGATTATGTGACTTACCTTGGAAGTTACTTCAGTAGGAAAACTAGGTGTAGCAGCAGGCCTCCCTAATGCCTCTTCTGCATCCGAGTAGTCCACATACATCAGATGGCTTGGAGACTTGGGAACAGTCTCCAAAGAGTCTGTGGCTGTTGCTATGTCTTGTGTGTTTCCTTCACCAATCCCTCTGGGCACAGCTGCTACTAGCGGCCCTGAGCTTCTGCAGTCTGACTGCCCTGTACTAAGTACGGTCATCTTGGTGAGAAGTGCTTTTGGTAGGCCATCCATAGAGTCTGTGTGAACCCCAGCAAAACAGTCGGCAATCCTGATTTCTTCATCAGCACTTGAGATCTCCTGAGAAATGTTCCTAGACGGGTGATGTTGTGGACTAGCTGAAACAGAGGGAGTAGCCGACAAAACTGATTCTGCTTGGCTGTCGTCGTCATCATCTTCATTGTCATTATCCTCATCGTCTGCCCCGTCTGAGTCCTCTGCATCAAATCCTGACCGATCATAACCCTGTCGTTGTTTTTCACCTATTAAAACAGGACAACATGTATTTTTTACTTAACCGCAATACAATTCAGAAAGGATCCTTTATAATGATATTGCTGCAAATCTTGTAAAAGCAAAATCAGCAGCAATTGTTAATTCCACAAACAGAGGTCACTGAGCAATTCATGCTATGTCATGTGACATTTTGTGCTTTCAAACATTTCCTACATACAGATACTTGTTAGGGGATTCTTATTCAAACACTTCCAAAGGAACTCTTCCACCAACAATACGCATTAGAAACCTAGCATGTCAAAGAGAAGGGCTTTCAACCTCACCTTTTCAATGACATAATAGCTACATCCAGATACTTTTCCATGGAAAGAAGCATTCAGATATGCAAAATGCTTCCCCTGCTTCCCAAAAAAATATTCCAAATGGTACATTACTAAAATGACTATGACACATCCTAGTGATGCATGTTTTAAAATTATCCACAGGTGTTGACAGGGTCAATGAGATTCTAGTAAAGCCATATGAACAGGTACACAAAGAATAACAAATGGATATCTTCAAGTCTTTTTTTTTAATGATTCATGAATAAAATGTTCTGACAGTAAATGAAAAATAATTACCACAAAAAAGATAGGAGCACTTAGGCCTTAAAAGGGGGTGCCTATTTCATTTTCATATTTTCATGCACCAGTCCTTTCATTTTACACAAAACAGAACACCTCTCTCAGGTTATTTCATTTCATTTCCTCTCATTTGTGTTTTCTGGCACTAGCCTAAAATAGTCCAAAAGAACCCGTAAAAATTAATCTAAAAAAAGCAGAAACAAGGCAACACAGCATCAATCTACTCCAAAAGCAGGACAAGAGAAAGAAAAGTCATCATTAGACCAACAAAGGAGAAATGTGTCCTCCCAATAACAACCACTACCCACGCAGCTCAATGGGACACATGCACAGTTACAAAAGCCCAGCCTCTTGGCCCACCCACAGAAGCAGCCAAAAAGTCCCCCAAACCCCCCCTCCCCCAAGTATACAACTTTTACGGAACAAACTGTAATTTGCCAAATAATTTTTTTTTAAAAAAATCAGTCAAACAGGGAAAACACCGCTAAAGTGAAAAACATAGCAACGTCAAAAACACACCATCACATCTCCCAAAAACAAAGAAAAGCAAACAGGGAAATAAAAACAAAAAAAAAATACAACCAACACCCCCCCCCTAACAAAAGCAACCAGAAAACAGTAATATTTGTGTGTGTCCTCCACCCCGTGCTGCCCTTTCCCACTGGTGCCTTGCTCTCTCTTCTTTGAGAACAGCAGGAGACAGGCAGCAAAAATAAGAAAAGGAAGCAGCGGTGGGTATCCCAAAGATATAAGGAGACTTTTTTTTAAAGGAGGTATGCTGGCACAGGCAGGCTGCCTGGTGGCAGCAACAAAAATAATTCAAAGAAATGGGGGCACCCTAAAATGAAGGAGGCAAAAGGCAAAAAAGGAAAGGATCTAATATGGAGACATAATAAGCAGTTAGGCAGCAATCCAAGATGGAGGGCCACCAGTTGCTCAGCACACAGCAATCCCACCCACAAGGATGACTGAAGCATCTTTGTGGGATGCTTACTGGGTTCCAACAAATCCAGGCCCTTTTATAGATTCAAAATCCCCCTCCCCCTTTCTGGATATTTTGATTGGCTGCTGATAGCAACCCTTGTGACATCATTGGATGAAAAATTTCCAGGTCAATTTGATAGGAAAAAGGGCAAAAGAAATATCAAATGAAAGAGGGGAACATGAAACTATCATGTACTCCTCCTTAATACGTATTTAAGAGGCTCTCTTTCTGTAATTGATGAAAGAATACAGCAAAGAAGAGTATTATGCATGTTTTTCTTTTTTTAAAACATGAAAACCCCATTTCCTACTCATAAATTCAAAAGGACTTCAATATTAAAAGGAGCCAAACACATTGTTGTGCAAGTAATTACAGACCACAAATCAAATTAGCATGCCATATAGGTGGTTTTCTATGACTTCAAGTGGGGAAAGAATCCAGCAGTCTTAAACTTTTCAGCTGAAATCAGAAGAAAAACAGAGTCCACTGCTAGACTCAGGTCCACTAGAACAAACACATAACAATGATAAAATAAACAATTCTAATGTGGCAAAAGAAATTTAGTAGCACTGGACAGTGAAACCAAAGGGAAGAGCTGTATATGTAGAACCTAGACAATTAAGAAACTCTTCTATTTATTGTGCATTACAAATTACGAATTATATGAGATAACCTTAAATATACTGCTAATTATTTCACTCAAAATACTTCATTCTGAAATTGAAGTAAACCTCTGAACATAGCAGTACAGACCAGGAGGCCTAAGGCTTTTTTCTTGTTGCAGGTACTTGCACTAATAAGGATTGATTAATTATGGTGCTGGAAGAATGCTAAGCCCTTTCTTCCCCTTTCACTGCCAAAACATCCCTTAAAGCACACCAAAAGCACTCTTATACCATCAACAGAACATTAACTGCTCTGTCAGAGTTGGTAGAAAGTGATAGATGTGTTTATGTTGAAGGAAGGGCACCCAAGTGAATAAAGCAACAGGGATTTCAGTACTCTCCTCCCCCCCCCACCCCCATGTTCCTCAACGTAGAGAGTTGGCCAAGGGTGGCTCTATGGTGTTCTCTTTTAAGCTCTCCACAAAACCTCCATTTTCCTTTTACAGGATGCTGCAGACGCAGAAATTAAATATTTAAAACATTCTTTTCTAAATTGGCTGGTTCTAGACATAATTGCTACGTATGATTTACATAGCTTAGGACCCGACCATCTGGATTACATTCTCTCCTATGGACCTGCCTGCCTACCAAGATCTTTGTAAGTGGGCTCTCAGTCCCATCACCACTGAAGCAAGTTCTTCTGCTGGGGATGTGAGGAAGGCCTTCTTTGGTGGCCACCTCTGGGCTTTAATGATAAGGAAGGCTAAACAGGCCTCATTTATTTTGCTCTTCTATCCCCCCCCCCAAAAAAAGGACCTTAGTTTTTTAAGAGACATTTTAACATTTGAGGGAAGAATACTAAGTAGTCAACATGGTTGAGGATTGCATGAAGTGACACTTGACCATCTGCCAGCTGAGGCTGTGCTAAATCCACATCTCTCCCAGCCCAATAATATTGAAAACTACTCAAAATTACCTTGCCCCTGCCCTAGCTTTATACTGGCATAGTGCTAGTTAGTCTGGGGATGAGAAGGATTTGGATCCGGTGTAATTCAGCTAGCTCCTCTCCTCCTGATTTCCACCCTCCCTGTTATGCCAAGTGATCTCTGCCAGTACAAGCGTGCTGCTGCTTATGCTGCTTATGTTGCTTATGTACATAAGCTGTGCCAGTGCAAGGGGTTTTTGCCCACTCCAAACCCACTACAGCTGGAATATCTTTGAGGCTGGATTGCACAGTATAATGAATTTCTAATTAAGGGGTTTTAAATAGTTGCTACTATTATACAGGAGGGCCTGGCGTGCTCTGGTCCATGGGGTCACGAAGAGTCGAACACAACTAAACAACAACAATTATACAATATTTTACATTTAATCAGATTTCAAATCTATTTTCATTATATTTTTGTTTGAATTTTATATTTAACTGATCTGAATGCATTTTGTTGATTCATTTTTTTCATGTGCTACTCTATGGCAGAATATGCTAGCACTGTATGGTATAAATCAAGATATGACAAACAAGTGGATGTAGCCCTTTCAGGATTATTACTGGTTGCCTGAAATCTACCCTCAATTAAAAAAAGTCTGTTATTTGGCTGGCAACACCCCTCTCGAAATATGCTGAAAGGTGCTAGCAAATAACAAACAAAATAAGATAATACAGCACCAAACCCACCCACCTCATGGACACCAACCCCCTAGATGACAGCTAAGATGGACAAAAAGTTTTTTGAAAACTCTCAAGCTCTACATATTAAATCAAAAGAGGCTAGGCAAAAACAGAGCAAAAACTACACACCTTGCCAAATGAATGAACACCAAAGAGAGTCTCCCACCAGGGTAAGATTCTGGTTGGACAATTTATTCTAGAAGTCACTTAATAAACTTCAAAGCAGAGTAGGAAGATCAGAGGGTAATCAAGTGAAACAGAGCTACAGTCCACCCTTGCTTTCCATGACCAAGCAGGGATTCAAACCCAGCTCTCCTGAATCCTAGTACACCACACTATCCACTATACAACTCAGGGTATCTAGTGTTTATTTGTTGTAAAAACACAGATAGAAAGGAAACTCCCAAGAATTATCTCAATCTGCTTTGATAAAAATGTGGTCACTATGTTGCAGAAATTAAAGGCAAGAAGGGAATGATTATTTGAAAGAAAAAGATACAAAGTATTAGGTAATGAAACAGTAGAAATTAACAATCTTATATACATACCACATACGTATTTAAGTGTTTATTTGTTGTAAAAACACAGATAGAAAGGAAACTCCCAAGAATTATCTCAATCTGCTTTGATAAAAATGTGGTCACTATGTTGCAGAAATTAAAGGCAAGAAGGGAATGATTATTTGAAAGAAAAAGATACAAAGTATTAGGTAATGAAACAGTAGAAATTAACAATCTTATATACATACCACATACGTATTTAACACTGACAGAGAATATCACTGAGGCTATTACCCCAACTCTATTAATTACAGTGGTGCCTCGCTTAATGTTAATTCATCCCAGCGAAAATGTCATAAAGCGGAACTAAAAAACTTAGGTAATGAAACAGTAGAAATTAACAATTTTATATACATACCACATACTTACATTTCACTGACAGAGAATATCACTGAGGCTATTACCCCAACTCTATTAATTACAGTGGTGCCTTGCTTAATGTTAATTCATCCCAGCGAAACTGTCATAAAGCGAAACTAAAAAATAACAATCTTATATACATACCACATACGTATTTAAATTTCACTGACAGAGAATATCACTGAGGCTATTACCCCAACTCTATTAATTACAGTGGTGCCTCG